ACGGCTGGCATGAGCCGGTTAAATAATCGATTTTTCGCTGGTTCTGGACTCGCGGTGGCCACCGAGCGAAAGAAAACAATCAGAGTTTAACCGCGGCGATGAAAGTTCTTCCTCCTCCCCCCACTGTGATCGTAAAAATCCGTGGCCGTTCGTTAATTTACGCGCGCCTCTGCCAGTGAAACAGCTGCTTACGTTGCCTTTCGAAACTTCGCGTTGATACACTACGTTTTATTCTACTGTTGCGAACTTTTTTATTTGCCTTCTTCGTTTTATTTTTATTTTTTTTATTGTCACCCAGTTGTCAGTGGTGGCGAGAGATCGATCTTTGAACAGGATTTCGACGACGATTAACCACGGAAGAGACACGACGATTCGAAAGAAATGTATACTTCGGTATCGGGGCCATGGTCGAGGGGGAAAAAAAAAAGGGAAAGAAAATTGATGGACACGGTTCGTTAGGCGATACGAGATGGAAATGTCCGCTTCTTGATTTATTCACGATTCCCGATTCCTATCGGCGTTTACGAACAATACCTGCCCAGTTCGGTTCATCTCTCTCTTTCTCTGTCTCTCCCAATTTTAGATTCGCATTCTACCATTTTTCCGCGTGAAATCGCTCGAGCTCCGTTCATCCCTTTCTTTCGTACCGTGTTTTTCGTTTACTTTGGTCGACGGTAACGAGGCAATGTCGGACAAGGGCTTCGAAAATGCGAAAAATGTTAGGGAGTTCGTCTCGACAAATGGGTGTTCGAATCCACTGCACGAGTATACAAGCGTATAGAAGCGAGTGTTAGATGATTCCTTATGAAAAAATAAGAACAAAATATGGAATAAAATTTTGTCCTTTAAGACTTAGTTTTCGAGAAAATCGACTTCGAAAATTAATCTGAAACACGTGTATTCATCGTAGTGTAAGTAGAAACGGAATGCAACGAACAGACATGCTAGCCCAGTCCTATTCAATTGCCCCTGGATCTAGTAGATTTTCAAAGTCGATTGTTTCTCGAAAATTAATCCTTAAATAACCAAATTTTCTTCTATATTTTCTTCTTATTTTTGCATACGGAATAACCTCGTACCTGGTTGTTCATATTATTTAGCCAAACCTTGTACACACTCGACAGATCTGCGCGAGTAAGTAGTCGAGGAACGTCAGTGGTCAGACAAATCGAATTCAGCGCACTGAAGTGGGAACAGACATTCTTGAACCTTACGATGCTCGATACTCCAGCTAGGACTCTTAGAAAATTTCTATTATTTCGCACTCTCTGCACACACACACACACACACACACGCACACACGACTAATATTACTGTAAACAATTGTGTCGACCGGATTTACAAGTTCCTTTGTTAGTACATTTGACTTTTTTGTTTTGAAACTCACCACATTTACACTAGAACTACAAAACCCGTTAAAATGACGGAATGCAGATTTCTTATTCTACTGTTACGGAAGTTACAATGGTAATTTTAGCGGAATTTATGTTGACTTTTAATTTACTATGAATTTTATGTTATACTATATTATATTATATATTATGTATATTACGATATTGTAAAATTTAATTTAGTGTACATTTAAGGCTGGTATAGATGTATGGAGAAATAATCTAGAGTGACTCACGCATTAGTTTATAAACTTTCTAAGTTACAATTAAGTGTACAGATTTTTCTGCAATCTCGATTTATTTGCAGACACGATTTTTAGTTTTATCATGCTTTCGTGATAAATTCTTTCAATTTTGAAAGAGGATTTCGTTACGTAATCCGGTGAGATAAATGTGATAGCTTTCTATGAACAAATTTATGAGTCACTGTGTTCCTGTATTCTTATGTATTTATCAGTTTTATACAGCTGGTACCCGAAAATCTCGTGGAAAGATAAGAAAAGAATATATGTAGAATGAAATTCATTCGTTGAAAACATATTTGAAAATATTCTGGATACGCGTGCAATCATGTCGAATAGGGGAATTCGTGTCAAAAAGTAAATATGGTTCAGGTGATCCAATTTATCGAATCCTGAAATCAGTCAATAAATTCACAGATCTGATTGACTTTTTCAGTGGGTCTATTGAATACTTTAAGACATCCCTGCATAGAGCACTAAGGACTGTTTAATCTTCCCTAGTAGCACAAAATTATTGAAAAAAAATTTTTTTATAACCACATTTTTTACTATCAAATAAATATTCAATCCAAATATTGTATACATATGCAGGAAATATAAAATAAATGTTTCCAATATTAAATACATATTCATTTTATATTGGGAAAAAAATCTTTGTCGTGATATGAAATACACATTGTATATTTAATTTAAAAAAGAGATTGAATCAATATTTTGTGCTACTAGGGTTAGTTAATATTTTATTAAAAATTTCCTATCGCGACTAATTCCATACTGTATAATATATTGATGTAACTGTTTCTAATCTTATTTTCGTTAAATGTTATGTATGTATACCGGGTTTATACCCGTTAAATAACTAAATAAATAACTAAACGTGTGTCGAACGGTTTCGAATTAGATCGACACGGCCTTCTGCCATTGTTTGCCGACGCTCGGTTGCGCGTCGACGTCGAACGGTCGACCAATCGCCGCGTTAATTGAAAATAACAGCCCCCTCGTCTCCTTATCGCGGCCTGCTCAATTAACGGCTGCCTCTTATCGCCGCGGTTCTCTTCTCTCGCCGCGACGCACACGCCCGGCAAAATGGCGGCATCGCGATTCCGCGTCTTTTTCCACGATTAACATTCTAAATCGATTTAAATCAATCGAAAACGTACAATTCAACCCTATTTCTTATTCTTTAATCGTCCGATGGACCGTGTCAGCTTTTAATTCGACGAATTTATTACGATGTTCAACTCTCTTTCTCTGTTTGTCTTCCTCATAGAACTCGCTAGAATGTTGCGACGATAAATTCCTCCGATTATCTCGGCTCGAGAGTGTTGTTCTTGTTGCAACAAGTGGAATTATACGCGAAGCCCCCCCCCCCCCCCCTCCCTCCTGATATCCACTAGAGGGTTCCTCGTGTGTTCGCTTAGCCTCGTTGCAACCGTGGCTGGTTTAACAGCCGGCAATTGTAGCTAATAGAAATTTCATTGATCCAAGTAGAATCGAGCTGAAGAGTAAAAGAAGGGGTACAAGAAGAGGAAAATATATGCGGACGATAAACAGAGACTTGGGAGAACCAGCGTGGAAGCTAGACATTTCGAGCGGATGGGAAGTCCGCCTGACCATTTCGTGACTCGAACTACTAGCCGCGTGAACGAGCACCTGTACTCCTGAACGCGCAGTCTTCTTGAATAATTTAGGTGCTACGGACGCGTGTATGCGTTCAATGACATCGTAATGGATCATTGGCAAGCGTATACAGCCACTCACAAAATTTGTCCACAGAAGTCTGTCATAGTTATCTCGCCAGATTGCGTAACAAACTACGAATCTTACTTCAAAATATACATATATACTAAAAATCTATCTTAAAAATAGATTAAAAAACGAAGCCTCAGATTACATTGTTGTTAAGGAAAAACTTGTTCCAATTCACCCCCCGAGTGCCCCATTTCCTGGGTCGGAGGACATTTTTGTTACACCATGTATATCATCTTTATTGATGATATACATACTGTTGCGTCCACAATCGTCGTTTAGTTTCAGGAGTATTTAGCGCTAAAAGGGTTAACGGTTCCGAGGGATTAGACCCATTCGACTTTGTCTTGTCGTTCTGGGCTATTCTGGATTTTGGACACGTGACGGTACGCCGAGATCGATACTTTTTTCACCGGAAGAAGAACTCCTCGGTACGATCGAGAGGGTGTTTTACCCCTGTTCGTCTCGTTTGCGAATTCGTTGTGCGGCCGCTAGAGCTAAGCCTCGAAACGCAACTCGACGGTCTTGTTCCCCTTCGTTTTCACCCTTTTTCGAGGGTTGGATTACAGGCCCTACACGTAGCAGTGGTCTTCGAACAACCCTCCCCTCTCAGTTCCCTCGACAAGGTTTGTTTTTCATTTCGAACGGATCAACCTTTCGAGCGTGGTTCCCCGTTTCCCTCTCGATACACATTATCCCTCGTGTGCTCTTGGTCTCCCTGGGAGGGAGGAATAGGTGCTTAAATACGTAGATTCTGAATACGTTTCGAAGAGGTCTGAATATTTAGTAATACTATTACTACTACTACTAATAATAATAATAATAATTTATAAACGGGGTAAAACCTTTGGTACACACGAAAGAAAAGTAGTGGCAGATAACAAAATTAGATACAAAGAAACAAATAAAATATATACAAGTAAGTAAAAGAAAAATAATAATAAGAAAAATGTAAAAGAACATAATACAAATAGTAAATTCAGAGTAGAGACGGTATAAAATATGGATAAGAGTCTTTAATAATTTATCCATTAAAAATAGGCTAAATACAGTTACTCGAATACTTTCCGGCGATCTTTAACCTTTGACCCTAATATACTTAAATCTTGCCGCGATTTTACAATTGATTTTATATCTCGATAATATGCTGGAAATCTAGTACTAAACCGCAAGTTAATATCATTTTTACACTTTTCATAAACCACATCTGAGAAAACGTCTTTCTCTTGTACCCGTCACGCTAGTCTAACCCCGTAAGTGGAAACAGACAGCGTTGGGTAGACGTTATTCACCCGAGGGGACCGGCGATGCGATTCCGAATGAATTTTCAAGTTGGATATCGCTCGTTCCAACGAATCGTACGGGGCAAAAACCGTCATTTTGCATATTCTATTTGTTTTTTCTTCCTCCCGAAAAATTATCGTCCGCCTTACGGTTGCGATATACGAATCACACGGCCCATTCTGTATAATTTAACGTTCATCGCCTCGTTTTTTTTTTTTTCTTTCGTCACAAACATGTAACCTCGCGTCTAAATTGGAATTTTTTTTTTCTAAAGAAATCGGTAAATAATTTATCAGGTCAAGGCCGTACGAGAACGTCTGGAGTCCTCCGAAAGATGTCCGACGAGGAGAAGGAGGAGGAACAACCGTTCGCCGTTGAAACGGCGAAGACTGGCCGTGCAAAATGCAAGAAATGCAAGTGTCCGATCGAGAAGGACACGGTGAGGATCGCGAAGCTGATGGCGAATCCGTTCAGCGAGGGTAAAATGAAGGCCTGGCACCATGTCACCTGTCTGTTCGAGGTTTTCGCGAAACAGAGGGCCACTACCAAACGAATAGACGATCCAGAGGTGGACATTAATGGATGGACAGATCTCTGCGACGAGGACAAACGGACGATCCTGCTGAAGATCGAGGAATTCGAGAATTCGGGTACGGTAACAACGATTGGGTCCCTTCTTAAATTTCCTCTAACGATTTTTTCCTTTACACGTGTTTCTCGACGCTCGCATCTTAACGATTCTTTCCCTTGCACATGCTTTTCTCGACGCTCGATCTTAACGATTCTTTCTCTTGCATAAGTTTTTTGTGGTGGCTCGATCTCTACCGATTCTTTCCCTTGTATAAGTTTTTCTTCGACGTTCGATCTTAACGATTCTGTCCCTTGCATACGTGTTTTTGCGAAGGCTCGATCTTAACGATTCTTTTCCTTTACATACTTTTTTCTAGGCTCGATCTCTAACGATTTTTACCTTTATACATATTTCTCTGACGTGTTCTCCATCTACACAAGATCCGATCGTCGGTCGATTTCCGTACGAATGATCGTAGGATCCAGTATGTGACTCGTGGAGCCGTTTGATTCCGCCCTTTCGCGTTTAAGGTCGATGATAAAGGCCTTACGCGTCGCGTGTGTGCTCCCGCGAGAGCGAGATAAACAAATTCGAGTGATTTCCGAGACCGGGCAGGCAGACGAGCTTATCGCTCGTTCGCGTACGAGCCAAGACGTTTTAATTGCCGTTCAATTGAATCGGGGAACGTACAAATTGTATCCCATAAATCATCTTTCGCGGTATTATCGCCTATTAGAGGCGCCGAGATCGGCGGTGCTCCGTTCTCGTTGCCGTTCGATGATTTACTACGTACCGCGCGACGTCTACGCGCGATTATTATTATTACGGGGGCCGTTCGAAAGATTATCGGGGATCGAGGGTCCAGGATAATACCTTCCTAACGCGATCGACGTGTTGCGCTAATTGCGCAACCTTCTCCGTGTCTGACGAGCCACTCGATCGGCTTCGATCGTTCGAATAAATTATAATCGGGCCACCGAGAGCGTATATGGCACGGAATCTATCGATGAGTTTCAACTATTTTCGTAAGCTTTCGAGTGGTTCGATGTACAGTGACAGTCAAAAGTGAGTATACACTTGGAAAGTATGGGATTCATACAGATTTATTTCTCTCAATTTATGAATTCAATTAAATTAAATTAAATTTGGAATTGCAACATTTCGCATATATGTTATATTATATTGAGATCTGATGACTGTGCAGGATGATTTAACCGATTCAAACTGTTTCCTAGCAAACAATTTTTAATTACCCTTGCTGTATATTGCGGGTCATGGAAGTATTATCATGGAAGTATCTGTACTAAAATACAGAAAGCAATCGTCTTCGTACGTTAAGATATACTTCTTGAAGAATACCTCCTCCGAAGGTCATTTGAAGGTTAACATATTAAACATGGTTGAATTTGTCTTTTCATTAGATACAAATATTAGACTAATCAAAATACATTATCCCATTTAAAAAAAACGAAAACGACGATGAAACATCGGAAAATATAACCTCAAGAAAAAAATCTTCTGTACAACAATGATTGCCCCACCGAAGCAAGCATTTTCTAGTATCATTAAAAACAACGGAGATATTTCAGGCGAAAGTCTCAGGTGAATATAAATAAATTTACGAATACTCTGGTATTTTCTATTTTATAATAAACGAACACTCGAATACGCTTGTATTCTGTAATCATTTCATCAATAGCTACCGAATACGTTAGCATTTTGAAAGTCTGAAATCTCTGAGAAGGTTCTCCGTTTCTTTCACAGCCCCGTTTAAGACGCCCAAAGGAAAAACGGAAGATTCACAAAAGAAACGGAAAACGTCGACTCCTGTTAAAGGGACGTCCATCGACGAGAAACCAAAGAAGGTTAAGAGGGACCGTTCGACGTCGAAGGAGGGCTCGTCGGATGGCTCGCATAGATCGAAGAAGGTTCGCGACGAGCCTCCAGGACCGAGCAGAGACGATTCGTTCGAGGAATTTCAGAGGGTCTGCAAGGATGTCGCGAAACTGGACGCGTATACGGATAAAACGGCGGTGGTTAGGAGGATGCTGACCAATGGATCCGATGGCGGTAAGTCATCAAATCCTATTTATTATTAATTACTAGACTGCGGATTCGTATACAAATATAGATTTTTGGGGGTTAATCTACTGGAGTGAAAGCAAGATTTGTTTACTGTATTTACTATACTACCAGGTTCTAAACAAAATAAAAAATTCTTCAAAATTTATTATGCTCCTAAGTATAGTGAATTCTCGAGAATTCTGTGTGCTATAAATGGATATAATTTATAAATTATAGACTCATTAACCCCTTGCATAATAATTATTATTATTAAAAATACTGTTCCTCTGGTATTAACATTTTAACGTTTAGAATAAATGTGACATCTGCGATAGGAATAGAATTCCTCCAGTGTCTGAGAAAATATTAACGATAAATTAATTCTTGAGAGTAAAACCGTAAAAGAAATCGTATGGTAAGTGGTTGACGAGGGAGGAACTGGATGATTGCTTGGCAACAGGCTGTTCCACCAACGAAATTAACGAAATTTCGTGTGCAAAGGGTTAAAGGGACACTGAGAAGTTGCTGTTTCCCGTCTTTCCCCGCGTCCTCAAATTCGCTCTGGCGTGGCGGTTGGATCACGGTTCAAAGTCGTTCGCGGATCGAATTGCGTCGTCGCGTTTCTTGGTGATCCAGGAGGGGGATCGAGGCGCAGCGTGCGCCGGGGTCCGACCGAATTTCGTAACGTTCTCAAAGGGTCAAGGTTCCCCGCGCCACACGCGACTTCTCTGCCTGGTGCTTCGTGAATTAGCAGTCTTCGCGATAACGTCGGTTCGACACCGTTCTCGATCGAATCTCGATCGGAACGAGAGGTGTATGCAACCAGGGACTTAAACCGGTATGATTTTGATAACGTTATTATACTATCAAAGTTCTATCGATACCGATATATTACTGAAAACCGAAATAAATACCGGTATTTTTTCGGTTTCTATAAGGGTAGCGCTTATACAGGGTGTAAGAAAAATGTTGGAGGATGTATATATAATTAATCCGTTTAATCGAGCACATCTGCACCGAGATAGCTCGAAAGATTATCGATGTTTTGGTGACCTTGATAAGCGAAAACGCGATTCGCGCGTGCCAAGAACGTTCGACGAAATAACTCGCGCGAGTAAATCGAGGACAGAGAAGTGGAAGGGGAATCGTTACATTTAATATTTTCGGTTAATTAGGTTCCCCGAGTTTTTTTTCAACCGTCTGTGAAATCTAATGAAATTTCGATGTTTCAGTGTGTGCATTAGAGTCGAAAGGAAGAGTAGTCCTCGTTAATTGGACGACGAGAACAAACACACACACACACACACCTCGAGCATTAAAGATACTAGACTCGACGATAATTCCGTTCTCCAACGGAAAAGAGAGGGAAAAAAAAACAATTTTCATCGTTGTTTTTTCGTTACCATGTTCCACGGTCCGAAATACAGGTCTCGGATCATAATACCATAATATTACACGGATTCACGCACACCTTTAGCTTCGATAGAAGAATAGAATGTTATCGATGGTCCACACTTTCCGTATAAACAGTCGCGTCTTCTCTCCCCTCTCGATTATTGTCTCTCCGATTCCCCCTACTTCTTTCTGGCCTCTGTGTGTCGTTTCGCCGAGCTCTCCAGAGGCAAATACGATACCGGAATCGGATACAAGGAAACCATTAATCAATCGTCGCCGCGGATTCGCGAGTGGAAGATTTTTATGGGGTTATCTGGCACCCTGAGACGAAGACAATTCCCACAAGGAGGATTTTCCGTTCATTATTGAAAGATCCTCGAGTCCTGTCGCGCGATCTATTCGTTGATACACCCAGAGCCATTCCTGGCGGGGGTGCAAAAGGTGCCCCCGCACCTGGGCGACCGCAGATATCCGCAGGATCGTCAGGTATACATGTATAAATGATTTCTGAAATATTAGTCGCGAACTGGCTATCATTCTTTAAGAAAGTTGAAGTCAAAGTTTGTTAGCCTTCAGTTAACATTCGCCTAGTTCGTTAACTCATTGCGTTACAATATCGAGTCAGGCACGTGATAACGATTTCAAACTGAATTTATTCTCTCTCTTAGGTATCTTATTGGGTACAGAATAAAACAGAAAACTCGTTGGATCCGATGAAAGTTTTGTTTTTCATTATATTTCACAGAGCCCTACAGGCTATAAATGCATAAAATCCGCAGTCTAATAATAAGCATGCGAAAAAAAAAAAAATAATAGGTCTGGCGAGACTCGAACTCTAGTACGCTGACGCTCCGCCACCAGTCTAATTAACAAACATTAACACTCATTGGTACTTAACGACCTAGGCGATTTTTCAAATTTTAACTTCGAATTTCTTAAAAATATATAGCAGCTAATATTTTACAAATGTCGTTCATACATATATACCTAACGATCCTGTGCAGTTTTATTAAAATCGGCGGTGTCACTGGTGAAAGCAGTCCTCGCGAGCCCCTTAATTTCGAAACACCGCACGAAAACGTCGCACGAAGAATCCTAGTCAAAAAGTACCATTTGTCATAAAGGACCAATGGTTTTCCTCCGATTTCCTCAGAGCCTTCCCGTGACTAATCGATCGTCACACGAAGACTCCTAGCCAAAAAGTACCATTTTTCGTAATGGACCAACGGTTTCTCCGATTTTCTTCCTGTAATTCGTAGATCGTTACACGAAGGCTCTTAGCGAAAAAGTACCATTTTTCGTAAGACACCAACGGTTCCTCCGATTTCCACCGATTTTCTTCCCGCGACTCGTCGATCGACGAAGACGATGCTCGCAACACAACCCCTCTCGCGAAATTGTTTTCGCAGAAACCGCACAGGACAGTTAACTTCTGACACGGCACCGATTGCGGTTCGTTGATTTCTCTTCCCCGCGTCATATACTCTTGACCCAGTGTACACCGCGTGTATCGACGCGAAATTTTCCGCTCCCCGATCGAAACACACCGTACCGACCACGCACGTCCCCTAACCGTTCCGGTCCTTCCCCCAGAGGGGCCATTTTCCGCGATAACGGACCGTTCGGGTACCTCCGATTTCAATCAGTTACCGTCCCTATTCAAATTAAATCGGTTCGTAGAATTTTCCTCTGTTTACGAATATTTCAGTAGAATTCGACGATTCTTACGAAGGTTATCCCTCGGGACAAGATTTATTGAAATTTACCCGGGTTTTTAATTTCGTTCAGAACTCTAGGGGACATCGTCTAATTCCCTGAATCGACCTTAAATTTCCCTCAAACACTCCTGATACCGAAATACCACCGAATATACCTCTTCCTCTTGGTATATTGCCGGGGCTAGTATAATCCATGAGAATCTCAAATCCAGATTCCACTAAATTAGGAAAATCCTAGTTTCGAATGTCCTTTTATGTACTCACTGTAATCTGAAGTCGTTTCTCCGGTTAGTTGGCCGCTACTTGGAAATAATCTTCTGGTTCCTCGGTGACTGGACGAGTCACCCTTTTTCTCGCGAAGGTGATCCTTCGTTGAACCACGGACGCTACCGTCGAAGGTGTCTTTGTTAATCGTCCAGAGGGTATTCGCCACCCTGTGTTATGCTTGATCACTTTGTCACCACTCTGATATTGTATCTTTGTCTCGAAAATGATCAATGGATCGTTATGGTTAAACACGCTTTTATAAGTCCGTGTCACTTTAATACACTTGGGGTGGTGGCTAACGGATCCGCAGGGCCGCTAAACAAAGTTTCGTTTGGTTGCACGCGACACATTCACAAGTTTCGCGACTATTGGTCTCGGGGTGCTGTGCTCAGCTGTCTTATAAGCTCTCCCGGCCGTCCCCACCAGATTCTTTGAGTCCGATTTGTAAACGCGATGTCGAGCCCCCTTCTCGAGCAGCCAGCTTGGCTCCAGACGTTCTTCTCTCCCCTGTCCTCGCCTCTTTTCCTCTTTCTCCACACGCCACTTGGGTTTCCACTCTGTATTTCGCCGCATCATCGCTGAATCTTCGTTCTATCAACGTATTTATCTACCTCTCCGTTCGCCACTGCCGATCCTCTATTCATCCCCCCTCTGGTTTGATATCTTTACTTGATCCTCCTTGCTATGATTCGCGATCTCTTAGTGCCTATACATTCCCCGCCCACTTATCGTTGATTTCCGTTTCCGTGGTAATTTTTCCGTCTTCTTGTCCAATTGCCACGCGATTTACGCGATCTAGTATGCCGGAAAAACGGGCGGTATTAACCCCTCCGATTTATACGATTGATCGCGATATCAGTTGTCGACCAATGACGACGCGTGACGCAGCTTCGAAATAGGATCGTGACACAGCGATGGGACCCGTAAGCTCGATGGAAACTCGCGCGCCATTTGCGTCTTGTGAACGTAAATCGAATGCGATTCTTGCGATTGGACCGAGAGAATGGCTTGGATGTTAAGATCGATTTGGCGGTTGAAATAGTTTTTTTTTTTTTTTTTTTTTTTTTTTTTTTATATATATGTCAAGTTTGTATCTCCTTTTGCGACTGGTTTAGCGCAAAAGGTTTAAACGTTGGGATTCCGATTTGGGAAAGTTGAGATATCAATTTGAAAGTTGGGAAATCGGTTCGGAAGTTAGGATCGATTTGACGAAGGGCATTTTCAAGGTACGAGTGACAGTAAAAAGAAGAAGATCGTATATCCAATAAATCGATTCTGTCCACCCCGGAGAAGAAAGTTTCGTAAAAGCTTGGTAAAAATATCGGTTACGTTTCCTCGATCGCGAATCGATCCAAAAGGCATTTGGCGACCCAGAATGAAGCCCCGATAAAAAAAAAAAAGTACCACTTCTTCGTGACGTTTTTCCTTCTCTCTCTCTCTCGCGCGTTCACTTGTTTGTATCTATATATACGAAGTATTATCGAGCTGGTCGGGCGACGAGAGTCGTCGCCGTTCGGCGCCGAAAATTAGTAGAGATAGACGCGCGTTTATCGGTGTGCGCGAACGCCTGTCCATAAATAAATCGTTGTCGCCATCCTCGAGGGTCAACGCGATGGTAAGGCATTCGCGAATTGCCGTTCTTTCGTTCAACTCTCGATTCCTCGAGTCGAAATACAAGATCGAAAATTGTCTGTAACCGAAGATCTTCCCCTTGAAGACGTCCCCTTGGGTACGGATTTATTTGAGAAAATATTTGCATGTGGAACGGAAATAATTTTTGGTTGCTTGGAGTAGTATGTAAAGGCAGTACATTTTACGTAAGAATGTATTTATTTCTAAAATATTGGTGACATATGTAGTATTAAGATGTCTTCAACTAATTAGAATTGCAAAACAAAAATAAATTAATAACAACAAAATAAAACTAAATGAAATAAATTCAATTTATAAAAAAAAACAATTACTAATAATTATGCAGAGTGTGATATTTTTATTGATGAATGAAATTGATCAATAAAAAAAAAAAAATGACGTATCTCAGATGTCAAATGTACCTAAAAGTTTAATTTTTGGTTTGACGTCTTAGACACGTCATCCGCTCTTAGGGGAAAAAAGTGAATGACGTGTCTCAGACGTCAAATGTACCCAAGGGGTTAATATAACTTGATATAAAAAAAAGAAATTCGTTTCTTTAACCGAGAAAGAAAGCGTAAATTTTGTCACTTGGTTGCGATCCATCAGATCCCAACCTCCATTTTCGTATCGTTCAGTCCGATTTTCCATTAGAAAATCTTTCTTACCCAATCCCAGATAGCACATGATACCTTGAACACGTCCATTTTACGGCTATTTTAGGTCTAAGGCGTCTTTAATCCGTCTTCAAGGCGTCGTTAGGCGTCATGTGCTATATGGGTATGGAGCAACCTTCTTTTGCTTGGTCCTCGCGAAGTCTGATTCCTTTTCTCCGCATCAGATCGATATCCACTATAACACATGACGTCCCGAAGACGTCCATTTTACGTCTATTCTATGTCTAAGACGTCTTTAAGCCGTCGCTAGGCGTTATGTGCTATCTGGGATTAGTGCAAACATTGGAAAACCAGCCAAGAACAAGATCCCTTTTCCGGAGATCCCTTTCACTCGGTGTTTCGGCACGTAACACGCCTTTAACTCGATTTCCACTTTCGTTTCTCGGTGTTAACCTCGTTATCTGCCGCGGTATTCGACATTTCAGGAAGGGCATTCCGCGTGCTCGCTCGATAACCACGCGGCCCCGCGTTATCGCCACTATAGGACTCGCGACGGAGAATCCGTCGCTTCGTAAATATTATTGTTTAGGAGTGTGACGATCGATTGTCGTGTAACGCCGGCGATTCTGAAAACTGGGCGTGAAGAAGGGGGGAATGGAATCAGATTTGTGAATAACTGTACATAACCAGGGACCTGACGAAGAGAAGATCGATTGCGCAACAGGCTTGCTTGCTTGCTTGTTTGCTTGCTTGCTTGCTTGCTTGCTTGCTTGCTGCTGGCCAAACTCGACACGAATTGACCCCGAGCGGTCTCGTGAAATCGTGCTAACCACGAGATACGCCTCGTTCGATGCTTTTCATTGGCGGATATAGACGGACCGAGAAATTATACGAATCGTGAGGCAAACGAGCGCTCTCTGTTTTCGGATCTACGGGAATAATATCTGCGAAGATAGCCGTTGGACGTTTCTCTAGTAGACTTGGTAGTTTTGTGCGATTGATAATACTTGGGGAAGCATCGAACTCGAATGAATCGAGAGTAAGTCGATCACCGTCCAGGAATTAGCGATTTGCGCGTCGAAATCGCGCGCGTGCGTCTATTTCCGACGATGATCGAGAACGTGGTTTGATGTCGATAGAGTCAGGGGAGGGAGAGAAGAGTTCGTTTTGGCCGTTGGTCGCTGCTTTCTCGGAAGTGGACGAGGGTGGAAGAGGGTGGAAGACGCGGAATGGGAACGGATTCGCGGAACGGATTCGTCTAGTCGCGGGAACTCGGGGTTTTCCTTCGATCTAGGAATTATATGGATCGCTGGACCGTCCAATTCGATCGAGCAACTTGATCTTGTACCATTGAATCTCCATTCTATTATTCTCCTAGAGGAAAAAAAGAAGTTTTCTTGTTATCCTGGTGTCGTGAGTTCTGAATCATATGTTCGTATCTTTAAAATGATCTATTGTCTACGGATAATATTTCACATATATCATTAGGAATCTGTTATACTATCATCGTTCAAAACCCTGTTAAAATCGAAGCCTGACAGTTGAGTTCCTTTCCTTGTTAGAATGCGCAACAGATATCAATTCGTCCTCCATTGTAACCGTTTGTCCTGTCTCGTTCCGGACAACTGTTGCACGCCCGTCGAGATCAGAGAAGAGCACAGATGAAGGTCGACGAGATGGTAATCGTTGGGTCCAGGGACGAAGACGAGACTTCGCTCGAGATAGAAGAAGAACACCGAAGAAATTGTCTCTTTGTGTTCCGTAAGTGGAGCGCCGTTCGGATTTTTCGATAGATTGCGCGCGGCTAGTCGAGCGGAAAGTCACCGCGACTTGGCACAGTTATTATCGTGGATGATCTCGCCGACAGCTAGGTCGGGAACCTCCTCCGATCCTCCTCCCTTTCGCTCGTCACCCTCGATGATACAGACGTCGTCGAGTTAGTCGTTGAGTTCCAAATCGATTAACGTTAACCTCTAAACAGACCATCGTTGAGTTCCAGATGGATCGTCGTTAAGCTCTAAACAAACCTTCGTTGACTTCCAAATGGGTCGTCGTTAAGATCTATACTCGATCGTCGTTGAGTTCCAAATTAATTGACGTTGAGTTCCAAATCGATTGACGTTGAGTTCCAAGTCCATTGACGTTGAGTTCCAAATCGATTGACGTTGGGTTCTAAATCGATTGACGTTAGGCTCTAAACAGACCATCGTTGAGTTCCAGATAGATCGTCATTGAGCTCTAAACTCGATCGTCGTTGAGTTCCAAATTAATTGACGTTGAGTTCCAAATTAATTGACGTTGAGTTCCAAGTCGATTGACGTTGAGTTCCAAGTAGATTGACGTTGAGTTCCAAATCGATTGACGTTGGGTTTTACATCGATTGACGTTAAGCTCTAAACAGACCATCGTTGAGTTCCAGATGGATCGTCGTTAAGCTCTAAACAAACCTTCGTTGACTTCCAAATGGGTCGTCGTTAAGATCTATACTCGATCGTCGTTGAGTTCCAAATTAATTGACGTTGAGTTCCAAGTCGATTGACGTTGAGTTCCAAATCGATTGACGTTGGGTTCTAAATCGATTGACGTTAAGCTCTAAACAGACCATCGTTGAGTTCCAGATAGATCGTCATTGAGCTCTAAACTCGATCGTCGTTGAGTTCCAAATCGATTGACGTTAGCTCTAAACATATCGTCGTTGAGCTCTAAATCGTCTCCTCTCAAATGGTGAAATCACACGCATATACCGATGGAATTTCGCGAGGAATCGGCCGCTAGTTCGTTTACTCGCTCTCAGCACTCTCGACCCAAGAGAACGAGCATCGGGAGCGATAATTGGCCGGCGACATTTCGTCTGCCCGACTTTAATTATCGGCGTTCGAAGCAGCAGCTGCACGCCTCCATAAATTGCTATTGTGTCACACATCGAGGCGGCGGCGGGGACGGGGGTGGGGAGGGGCGAGATGTTTGGTCGCGCGACGACCGTGCTTTTGATCGGGGGCGCGGCAAACAGAGGCCTTAGGTCGTTCGTCTCCGATTTTCGAGTCCTTTCGACCGTCTCGAGGACGATTACGCTTCCCCAACCCTGTCTGACCTCTTGACACCTCGTCGTAACCCTTAGAACCGGACCGTTCTTCTATCCCACACGTCTTTTGTGCGTTTTGCCCCTTCTTCAAAGACGAACACGTAGAGTGAACGCATCATTGAAGAATGTAATTCGTTAAATTAAAAAGAAAAAGTACAAATTTCCTAAGTGAATTGGAGAATATTAAGTAAATAAACATTTCGCACGAATGGTGCGAAAATTGTTTGAGTATTAAACAAGGAATTGGAGGAAATAGGTATTCCATCATTCCATCGTATCGTAATAACATATTGTACTCGTTTTTCTATACAATGTTCATTCACCGATACGTGTCGATTTACTGGTGCATCGACGATATTCGGTGGGATCGCGAAGAGTGGCTGTGCGAGAGAGAACGATTTTCCTTCGGAATAATTACCACGTGGATTCTCTCAGTTTCCACTATGCACCAACGGGGAAAAAGAGTTGTCCACGTTGTTTTCTACCTTTCGAAAACTTCATTCGATCGCGTTAGTGCGCGTCGTGGTTGTGCAATCGCGAATACGACGAGGAAAATGGTGGTGGAGAGGATCACATGAAAAACGCGTTTCCCGCGACGAGATGCTTCCTGGAAACTGATCACTCGCGACGTAGATTCCGATGGTCGTTCGACGGCGTAGAAGGGACCAATATTATTAGTCGCGAATTAAATAATGATGCTGCCCGCGTGAATTTCCTCGGCCGCTTGTTTTCCATGAAAACAAAACGGATAGCGCCGCTTCCGAGAACCTGCGCACGATTGTAGATTCTACATCATCGATCTATATCGGCCCCGTACTTTGCTCGGATCGTTGCGTCATTTCTCGAAAGCTATTCGTTGTACAAGTTCGAAGTTTTCAGTCAATAAAATAAACATTTTAAAATTATATTTTCATGTCTCTTATACGGGGTGTAACGAAATTGTAGGTTCCTGAAATCGATCAATCGTTAGGTGATTTGGAACAAGTTTCTCATTTTTCCAGAGGAAAAACTTGTTCCAAAACACCTCACGAGTGACCCGTTTCACGGACCTACAACACTTTTCTTACACCCTGTATAAGTAGGATTTTTTATTTATGTGTTATACACGGTAGTGACGTGTTACTCAAGGGAATCGATCTTCCGAAGGATCGAATCGTAATGGAACACCTCTAACTGCGGTTGTCCGTGTCTGCCCGTGATCGTCTGATTCTACTGCGCCGTCCCGTTTCTTTCTTTCCGAACGTTACCTATTACTTCCAGTCGTATCAGTTCCGCGCACACCGAACTAGTAGGATTGCCCGCCCCGGACTCGATTCACGCGCGATTAAAGCCTGCAAGCCTTCGATTTCTGGGCGATTTTCGCATCCTCTAGATCCCTGGTATCGCGTTCATCCCACCAAAAACAGAATCGGATCGAACTGGCTCGATAAATCGCGCGGACACGAGTGAGAAGTGGAATGTCGCGAATCAAAAGAAGAACCTCTTGTTTCGGCCTGACTCTAAAGGAACGAGAAGAACCATTACGCCAGCGTTTCAGTTGATAACGCAGGTATCTCTTTCGAAATCGATCCGCAAGATATTCGACGCGGCCAGTTAAATTACTTTTCTACTTTTCATTCCTCACGATTCCTCCCAGGCGTTCACGGAGTTGTAAACATCAACGTCGTCACCCGTCGCTTCGTCTCGTTGTAACACGCCACGAGGCGTCTTACGAGCCTGTCGCCTACGGCGCTCTCTCGCAAAAGCGGAGGTGACTTCATACGTAGAGATTACAGAGCGTGGCCCCGCGTGTAATTAATGATCGATCGGACGCGAAGGAAGAACCGCGCGGGAGAGAAAACGATAGAGAGAGGTCACCACGCCGATGCCCACCGGCTCGTACAAAGTGTAGTTCCGCGGAGACTGACGATAAGAAGCGGTGGCGGAGGACGGGAACGTCGGGGGGCTTCAATGAGACTTTCCACGGGCCAACGAAAGCGAGAGTGGCGATGAGTCATTTGTCGCGGCCACCTACCCCCTCAACGGTCGTGCCGATAAACTGGCGAAACTATCGCGATTCTTTGTTGAAATTTACCATTTCCGTTTTCCTTTTTCTTGGATCACTTGGACGGAACTAACCCCCTCAGCAACCCTTTCGAGGAATTACATATGTTTTGGGACACCCTGTATAATCTTCTCGACGTTTCCGAACAGGTGTGCGCTCGTTGTCGGCAAAATCGACGATTTGATAGTGATTAATATCCTCGACCGAGGTGAATTTCACTTTCTGATAACCTGTTACGCCAGGTTCGCGGTACTCTCTCCTCCGGACGGTTCATTCGCGCCAGTTATTCGGCGATAAGCGGGATCGCGGGAGAGGTCGGAGGTCAGGGCCTCGCGGGAGCCTACAATCTTTCGCTATTAGGCTGCTGCACACAACGGATGGTGGAAATTTTTTTTTTTCTCTCTCCCTATCGAGGATTTACATGCTATGCGACGCTTCGGATCGGATGTGTCGTCGTTTCCGATACGCGCGAATTTCTGTGCACCTACAATTCTGCTGAGACCTGTGCAGCTCTATATCTTACGAAGATACAACACAAACTTTTCTGTCTTCGACCCTATTTATCGCATTTGTGAAATAGCGAATTTTTTCTGTAAAGATTTTGATTTTTTTGATCGACTCCATCCAGTCTTTCAAAAGTTCATAGTGTCATGTAATTACCAATTTTCTTTTCTCTTTGTAATTACCATTTTCTTTTTCTCTTGTATTCTAATGGGAATAGACCAGTAACTAAATAAAATAAATAAACTATATTTTTGATATCGTAGCTGACAATTTGGAAGATGACGATGGATTTTTTAATTCGGAGGCAATTAATTATAATTAAGTATATGTCCTTCCATCGACGGAACGATTACCGATTTTGTAATCGGAAGTTTTATCACCGGCTGTTCCCGACGAAAGTATATCGTGCATTTAAAATTAGTTCCTCTCGATGGAAGTTGACTAGCAGATCAATTTTCTGTTCAGAGAAAAACAGATGCGAACGAATGGATTATTTATGAACGGTAGTGTACACGTGTTTACAACACCGAATGACGTCGACTCTACCATTCGTAAGAGATTCCAGATTAAACTTTATCCGAAATTCTATCTAAAAACTTTCCTACCGGTATCGTTTAATCGACGAAGAATTGCCAACATACTTCTGAATGGCAGCCATCGATTCGTAAGTCGTCGAGGGGTTAACACCTAAGACTACCAGCCTTGAGTGTGTATTAAATTAAATTGTATAATACAATAATATACAGAATATCCCCCTATTGGGCGAGGGAGGACCAGGTCCTACAATAAACTAATTATTAAAAATTCCTATACATAAAAAATTTGTCTCCAATAATAGAAACCTTGTTCTTGTCTCTGTTTAAATACCGTTTAGGATATAACATGTCACACCCGCGTCGACCAATTTCTCTAACGTTCCTCGGCCGAGTCACGCAAACACGCGATCGTTTAGTGAAAAGCAAGAAAAATCGGTGTCCACAGGCCGCGTGCACAACTTCCCAAGCAGTGTTTCACGCCCCCCGCGCCGTGACACCTGAGAAAATGGGGAGAAGGTGCCGATCGATCGTCGAGATGATCGTTTGTCCAGCGAACGTGAATCGTCGCGTTAACTCGTGATCCATTGTTTACTCATTGATCGATCTATTTCCCGTACGACGACGCAGGAAAGAGGTCGTTCGATCTTTTGCTCCGCTACTTCTGTTCGATACTCCATCCGAATATGTTCTCAATCGATCCACGGGGAATAGTTTGGAGAACACAGATTAATCCACCGATTTTCCATTGAAAATTACAAAAATCGTTATTTCTTGTCGTAAGAATTTCAAAGATCGACGAAGGATCCTGATGGAGAGCTCAGGTAACTCTGTCCAATTGTAATCGTTCGTCGATCTTCGAGATTCCTGCGACTAAAACCGATGTTAATCGAGAGTCGATTATTTTTTATAAATACCGTCGAGTCCTCCGAAGGAAAATCACCACGATGGGATTGGAATAGGAGGAATACACGTTTGGCGAATGGAAAACGGTCTGCATGGGGCAAAAAGGAACGGAACGGAATCGGCGATGCAACGCGCATTCGAGAACGGAAAGTTACGCGGACGATAACTTGGACGCACGATAACCGGACACGGTGATCGCGGATATTCTATCGGGCCTGGATTCTTTCATCGGGGCCCCTCTCGTCTCTCATCCGCGTGCCTTCTGGTTTAGGCTGTTTATCGACGGGAGAAAGACTCGCGATTCTCTGTTTGGGAAGATTGCCAAATTTCGACCATTGCCCTAGGTTGGACCATTATTGCAATCTGTTATGATAGACAATAGTGGGGGAGAAAAGTATTCGTGCACCCTTTGAAATCATAATATAACATAAATCGTCGATATGTATTAATTAAATTTTCATTACAGTCTCAAATAAAAAAATTATAAAAAGCAACCTTTTACTATTTTCTTCGCGATTTGAACCAATTGCAAGGTACTCAAATTTTTTTTCTAACATTTTTGTTACACCCTGTATATCACGATACACAGATTCTCAATGATTGTTTCGCAGCTGGTTTCAAAGGGGACGCGATCCTCTGGTGCAGATTGCTGCTCCCAGGGGCGGTAAAAAGGGTCTACAACCTGCAGAGCAAACAGCTGGTCAAACTGTTCTCTCGCCTGTTGCTGCAGGACGAGGACGAGATGCTCGAGCATCTGGAGAAAGGCGACGTGGCCGAGACCATTCGAGTGTTCTTCGAGAAAAGCGTCGTCGTGCAGCCTGCTCGTAAGAGCGTGCTCACCGTGCAAGAGGTAAAAAATCATCCGAATAAGAAAATCCATTCATTCGTTCATTTATTTATTACATCTAAATTTATATCTCTTTGTTCCAAATTGACACGATTGATATTAGAAGGTTGACAGGATCGGTATTGGAAGGTAGACACGATCGGTATAAGAAGGCTGACACGATCGGTATTAGAAGGTAGACACAACCGTGTAATAATCCGTAAAAAGAACTAAAGAGTGCTCCAGGTAGCTAAGAACACCGTGGGAAAAACGTAAGACGAGACCGGCCCACCGCGAAGATGCGTTCCTGTATTAATCGAGAGCAAAGCCTCTGGATGAAATTTATAAATTTCCCCGCTCGAATAAGGGGATCGTCGACGTGCATTATCCCCGTAATTTGCGAGCACGAGGATACAAATGAGGGTGGAACGGAGGGGGTTCGAATTAAATTCATCCTGGCCGTCTGTCTCTCTTTCCGTTTCTGTTCGTGCAATTTGTCTCGGGGACAGATTCCCCTTATTGTCCCAAGTCCTCGTCACGAGTCCCTTCACGATGGTTCACCAGCGGAATTTTCGTCACGATCGAGCCTCGAATAAGAATCTCGGGGGCTGTCCGATCGCTTGGTCAATCCTCCACGCACGATTAAATTGCATAGAGTTTTTTTTTTTTTTATTTCGTCCAGGAGGGGAATACTCGCAAGGGTGTTCGATCGGCTTACGAGGATTTTGGGGGGGTAGTGTGCGGTCCAGGGCTTTCGATTCGGAGAAAATTCGGCCAGTGGAATCCTCCGCGGGACCCGTTTCTGGGTTACAGAATAGAGAATCTTCGTCTGAAATGAATCGATCATTCGGAAAATCGTGTTGGATTTTTCTTTATTTTAGGTGGACCAGTTCTTGGAGGATCTGACCTGCTTGACCAAGGAGGACGAGCAGATTCTCCACTTCCGTTCGATCGTTTCGAGGTAAAATTGTTATTGTTTCTTTCGTATGCGTTTTTATTTAGGAAAGTTTTGATCTTTCTTGCAGATGCACTTCGGACGATTTGAGGATGATCGTTAGACTGATCAAGCACGATCTTAGGATCAACGCCGGGCCGAAGAACATGTGAGTTCCTGTTCACAGTTGAACAAATAATCGATCCTACAGATACTGTGTACCGGACAAATGAATTCGGACAAAGACATTTTTCGTTGTGACCTCGACAATATATTGCAAGGTCATTGAAATCGGCGAGGATGGACCTATTCCGAATAATTGCCAAAGTTACAGTAACGGTCCAACCCAGACGATAGTCTAAATTTGGCAACTTTCCTTTACATACGAAGATACTTTTTGTCCCTCGTCGTGGACCCTGATTTATGTCGAGGCTATTTAAATTCATATTTGCACGATTGTTTAGCCTCGCCGCTGTGGACAACGACGCGTACAAGGCTTTCCAAACCTCGAGGGACCTGGTCACAGTCTTGGAGCGGTGTTTGCAGGGTTCCAAAATCGGGAAACCGTCCTCCTCCTCTGCGGGATCGTCTTCCGGCAACAAGGTCTCACTTTCTTTGATGACGCCCGTATTACCAATGCTGGTGAGCCTTGCTTTCGTCTCTTAAATATCTTATTGTGTTCAGAATAATGTAGAAAAGACATTGCACCCGACGAAAGATTTTTCTCTATTGTATTACGCAAAGCCCCATTGGCTATAAATGCATAAAATCTGCTAGTTATAAGAATTATTATAATGAGGATTATATAAGGATGATTGTAATATTCATTGTGAAACGAACAGGCGGAAGCTTGCAAGTCCGTGGAGATGGCGATGAAGAAGTGTCCGAACGGAATGCTTTCCGAGGTGAAGTACGACGGTGAACGGGTCCAAGTGCACAAGAGGGGCGGCGAGTTTCGATATTTTAGCAGATCCCTAAAACCAGTGCTTGCTCATAAAGTAAATTTTTTCCGACTTGCAGTGATTCTGGCCGTGGTGTCGATCGTTTCACGAGTTTTGTAAATTGTTTCAGGTGAACCACTTCAAAGAATATATACCAAAGGCCTTCCCAGATGGCGACGATCTGATTCTGGACTCCGAGATCCTGATGATAGACACCAAGACCGGTCAGCCGCTGCCGTTTGGCAGTTTGGGCATTCACAAGGTGTTCTCATAAAAAATTTTCTTCTATTTTCTATTTCCGAATTTTCTTAATCAAGAAGGAAATTGTCTTCTATTTTCTATTCTCACGATACTTCGTTTCTTTTTTCTTTTTTTTGTAATAGAAATCTGAGTTCAAGAACGCCAACGTCTGCCTCTTCGTTTTCGACTGCATCTACTACAACGGTGACGTTCTGTTGCACAAGTAAGTCCTTCGGTTTCCCTGGCTTGCACGATGATTTACCGAATTTTTTAACGCACTCAGGACCATGACGGAGCGAAGGGAAATCTTGCAGAAGAGAATGACCGAAATACCAAACAGGATAATGCTGTCGGAGGTCCAGATAGTCCATGTAAGTGAAACAGTATTACATATTGCCTTCTTAACATCTGGATGCTTGAACGTGTGATTTCAGGATCCGCGAGATTTGGCGGAAATGATTGGCAAGGTTCTCAAAATGGGTCTCGAAGGATTGGTCCTCAAGGATATTTCTGTAAGTAACTTGAACGCTTCGTTCATTCCGTCGAATTGTAATCCGTTGAGATTGAACGTAATTCTGCCGATCAGAGCAAATACGAGCCGGGCAAGAGGCACTGGCTCAAGGTAAAAAAGGACTACCTGTTCGGCGGCGCGATGGCCGATAATGCAGATCTCGTGGTTCTCGGCGCATGGTACGGAACAGGAAACAAGGGTTCGTACCGTTTCTCGATACAAACCAGAATTATCGTGGATCCATTCTTTTTTAATTTAACAAATTTCCTCGATACCTTCAGGTGGAATGATGTCCGTGTTCTTGATGGGTTGCTACGACGAGGAGCACCGCCAGTGGGTAACGGTGTCAAAGGTAAGAATTCACGTGCATTAATCGCGATAATGATACATTGGAGGTGTCTGGCTACGTACTGCCTTTTCCACTATACCAGTCAACGTGTTGAATCAGTTAAACATAGCTTTTCGATTCAAGGTGCATACGGGCCACGACGACGCGACGATGACCATGCTGCAGGACGAGCTCGACATGATCAAGATCGGTAAGGATCCCAGCAAAGTACCGCCCTGGCTGCGCGCGAACAAGCCTATGATTCCGGATTTCGTGGCGAGGGATCCAAAGGTTTGTCGATCAATTCTGATGAAGCCACCCTAGTAGTATTGACGCTACTTAATTCTTATCTTTTTTTTTTTTTTTTTTTTTTTCGGTGATTCAGAAACAGCCGGTGTGGGAGATAACGGGTGCAGAGTTCACGAACCAGGGTGTTCACACCGCGGACGGTATCAGCATCCGATTTCCACGAGTCACTCGTATTCGCGACGACAAGGATTGGTCCATGGCCACTACGCTGAACGAGCTTCGGGATCTCTTCAAGAAGAGCTCCGACTCGATAGACCTTAGCCTCCTTCTGCCCTCCGGTTCCGGGTACATCTTTTTCTGTTTCCTATTTCTCTTGTGTCTGTTACACGTCAGGAATGTTCGTCTCGACGTCACGATACGGTTTTTCTAGAGACGTGAAGAAAGAAGGAGATGGTAGCAAACCGGGGAAACTCGATGCCTATTTAACCGCGGAGAAGAGAATCGACGAGAAGCCCGAGTCTCCGATGAAAAGGAACAAAACACCGAGGGCGTCGAACACTCCCACCTCGTCGAAGCAGATAAATGAGGTAGACAGAAGCGGGAATACTACCTGGAATGGAAAAATGAAAGAGGAACCGCGCGATGGAGTGAAAGCGGACACGTCGAGCCGAGAGCAGGAAGTGGAGGAGGAGGTGGAACGGCCGAAGTATTACGCGTTCGTGAACGGGGACGTACGGGAGCATTTGTTTCTTTTATTTTCTACGCTCGTTCTACGCGTCTCGTTTACCCTTCCATTTATTTTACGCTTCATTCTCCAGTACATAGAATATTCCGGAGCTGGAGCGCCACTGAATTGGGTGGAGGGTCGAAAACCTACGGACGGTCTCCCTACGGATGCGAAGCCATTATCCAGCCTAGGGGACAACGAATTGGTAATGTCTTCCCTTATTTCGATTAATCCGCAATCGAAGTAGCATTTCATGCTCGAGTTCGATCGTTGATTTTCAGAAATCGAGAACGATCCTGAAGGGAGCCCCGGTCCTCCTGGCGTCAGGGTTCAGGAAGACCAAACGGAAACACATTCGCAGGCTGCTGAAAACGTATCCTTTTGCTCATTAACTCTTTAGGGTTAGATGGGTTAAAAACTGTCCCACCTTTTGTTTAGCTTTTTATGCATGGTGGGATATATTTTAACCCACCTCGAAAAATTGAAGTTACTCATAGTCATGCAGTTTAATATTTTAGTTTTATATAATTTCTTTTATGTTAGAAAAAAATTCTGCGCAACTAGGGTTTTTATTTTCTTTAAAATTGTGCGCCTCAAAGAGTTAAACCAGGGAGGAGGAGGATCCTCGGTGTATGCGGTCGATCGAGTCGATCCGATCTGACTTAGGGGACAGTTTCTAATTACTTTGGGGCCGAACGGAGAACCGAGGGACCTGTGGGTCACGTTCCTCGAGACGTAAACTTGTACGGAAACCCTCAGGGGAGAGGAAGAAAGAGCCGAGAGGAAGGCTCTTTCGCTCTCTGTCTTTGACATTTCTGCTCTCCCAAGGCGGATTTAAACAAGACGATTCCGCGTGGTCGACGAGCACTCGCGCCAGTCACGTTACGCTGAACGCGGATTTATTTTCCTTAATATAGACGAAACGGTTCTCCAGCCTCGGGGCCAGACTCTTGAGGGACCAGGAGAGATCGATGGCGACGCACGTGATTCATCCCTGCAAGGAGATCTCGTCCTCCGCGGTCCATGTAAGTGTTGACCTCAGGGACGCTTTCCGGCTAGATCTCGCCCGCATGGCACGTTTCGTTTCACGAGTTAATTCGACGTAAGAATCGTGGGTGTTTCGTTAAACCATACTTTCCCCAACTTTTTTAGCTAACCACCCCCTTTTCTGACCTTTTTTTCTATTCACACCTTCATTGGACAAACTATCTGTATTATCAAAATTTCGAAGTGAAGTTGTGGAGTCCTTGCATCTTAAAAAAGTTAAATTGAAAATGAAAGAAATAAAGTTACTAGAACACCCCATCCCCCAGATGTCCTCAATGCAATATGTGGTAGTGCTTTGGGAACCTATGCTTTAAACGAAACAATCGACACGGAAATGCTATCGATTCCTACGTCGTCGTACGCACGACGATCCACTGTTAGACCGCTATTATTTCTAACGGGTGTCCCCTAATCTTCCAGATAAATCGTGGGTGAAACCACAGACAAGATATAAAAATAGACCTCACATACAATGTAATTTTCTATCCATCAGGAGTCTCCGTACTGTTTCAGAAACCGGGGCAATAATTTAATTTAATTTATTTTAATTCGTATATGCAGTCACGTGTGTGTGCTGTGTCGAACGTAGTTCCTGAAATCGAAAACTTTTATGTGGACTGCGCTCGAACCAGCGTGATTTTCGTGGAACACCAAGTCCCATAAGATGTTAGGTCTATTCTTATATCTCGTCTGTGACGAAACGAACCAAGAAACGAAACGAGTTGTGTGTCCCTATGGCCGTGTCAAATGGACCGCTTTTAAATCGATCGAAGTCTCCTCCCGCCCACGGCTAACGGAATTAAAGTTGGTTAATACGGCGGCCATTACCGCTGGCAGCCCCGGCTGTTAACCGGCTTCCGGCTTCTGGAAGTTGTCAGCCTCCGTTCTGATCGTGCCCCGCGCCAATTACATCCCTCCACCTCCCTCGGTTTACCTTCCAATAATTCTCACCACTACGGACGTCGATCGGGCGTGTATTTCCCGGGGCGGAATTTCAGGAAGGTGCACGGTTAATCACAAACGGGAACTGATTTTGTAGGAATATGAGGACGTATCGAGGACTGCCAGACACGTAAGCGTCGAATGGTTGGAGGCGTCAGCTTCAGCATCACGGATCCAGGGAACGGAGGAACACGCCGTGGAATTGACTGGGGATTACTGTGTCTGCCCCTGTCGACACCGATAATGGGAACAAATGTCATATCGTGTGCTACATCGTCGAACGACTATTCAGTTCTTTCTTATAACGATTGTTCATCCCTTTAAGGCGTAAATAAAAAATATAATTGATCACGTAGCTGAATTTTATTTAAGCCAATGATAAGATAGATAGACTAACTTACAAAAACTGTTTTACTTTTATTTAAATAACGAGCATTTGTATTTTTTTTTATATAAATTACGCCTTAAAGGGATCGTTTTAGACAGCTTTCCCCTACTTGGGAGCTGACCGGAAGCCCTCCAATCGAATTCGTTCGTGACGAAGAGAGCAAACGGGACACACTGATCAAGTGAGATAGAGAGATAACAGAGTAATCACGTGGAACTGATGTAGGAATGACGTAGCGTATTGCAGTGCTAACCATTGGTTAGCGAAATACCCCTCTTGCCTCTGTGCCGTTTAGTTTGTTGGAGCTGGGCAACTTAACAGATCCTAACTGTATTTTAGGTTCGATGACTCGGAAGGGATTCCTAACCTCGAAATTATGCGTGGCTTCCTTTATATGTGCACGTCAAGGTACTTTACCACTTTGACTGACACTCCAGATGGCACATGACGCCTTTAAAACGCCCATTTTACGGCTATTTTTGTCTAAGGAGCCTTTACGTCAACTTCATTAGGCGTCGTATGCTATCTGGGACCTCAAATATAGGTAAAAAAAAGAAAATGTTTGAGTAAAAGTTAGTATCCCAGTATACAGTAAATCCTCGATTAGTGTTCGAAGAATTCTGGCACTGTGTTGAGTCGTTATCCCCACCATTGGGGGAGGGGGGAAGCCTTTGAACATACATCGATGATTTACTGTAATTTAAAACACAATCAACAGTCTCTACCCGGAGACCGGATCGGTAACAATATCCATTCACCCATAACAAACGAGTACAGTATTTTAAATCGTGCCCACCACTGCGTATCGTAAGAAGCCAGCCGAAAGAAATTGTGGAGTTCGCGTCTGTGTGCGCAGTCGAGGGACGTTAGAGGTTAATTGCCATCGTACGGAACATTCCGACGGTTGCGAAACGGAAACAGCAACGACACAGAAATATCGCGTACCGTTCACACAATCAACAACAGTTGATAGAGAGAAATAGATCCTCCGTCGTCTTACCTTTCGAACTGTCGCGAACACACGTGTGTTCTCTCGCCATCTGTCCGCGATCGCCGTTTATTTTCCCTGGACGGTTTACGGATGAACGACGCTCGAGAATACGGAAAAGAATCAGGGAAACTCGATCTTGTCATACTTTTACAGTATATCCTCGATGAGTGTTACAAGCTTCCTCGGTACTGAACATTAAATATTTCATAAACTAATGTAACACTAGGCGCTTCAGAATTGCAAGTTCAATCACTGTACTAAATCTTGTTAAAAAGTCACCGTTAGGTCAATGTCCCTATTTCTAATCATGTAAGATTTCTGCTATCGCACAAATTGATTTTTACCTTTATTTATGCAACAATCGTCAAAAAAAAGTATTAGATATCAAATTTAAACCTCCCTTTACAATTAAATAAAAGTATTTTTAATAATATTTTAACTTGATAATAGTTCATTTTATATGAAGTATAAAGTGTCTATTTCTGCTCAACAAAAATGAAAATGCTCGCATTCTCCATGACGTCCGACGCCTTTAAGACGGCTTAAAGGTGCCTCAGGCCTAAAATAGCCGTAAAATAGGCGTCTTCGAGGCGTCACGTGCTATCTGGGAAGCGTGTGTGTCGCGAATGGAAAACGGAGATCAATTACAAAAGGTCGTCGTCGGTTTTATTGTCGCGCACAGCGAATGTGTCTCGTTTCGCCGATTAAAACGGGGGCGGGGGAGAAATATACACATGCGGACACTTTATTGAATCCTCTTTATTACACAGCCGTCGTCGTCGCGCACCCGAGCGTAAAACTCTGTGATTTACAACACCGGTGCAAAACGTTGCGCTCTCTCCGCTCCGAATAACCGACGACCGTGAACCCTGTCACGAAAGAAGACGAAGAAGAAACGAGAGAAAACTTAAGAAGGTGGTTATTTCGCGCGAAAGTACACACACACACATACACACGCATATTCCGTTTTGGCCGCAAGTTTTCGGATTCTTAAATTACCTCTATCAGCACCCTAATCTACTGATTTTTCTTTTCGTTTCCGAAAATTTTAATATAGCGTGTCGCAGAGAACGAGCTTCGATTTACAGCCGCGCGCGGTTCAACGATGAAAAATCGGAATTTAATTGAACATTTACCGGAGGCGTTATCGGACCTGATCTCATCGATGTGTAGAACTTTCTTTAAATTGAAGATATGTTTCTAACAATTTTTGTCGAAAGAATAAAATTTTTGTCCAGGGAATAACATTTTTATCCAAAGAATAAAATTTTTGTATAACGAAAGGATCGTGAATTCCGCGCGGATGCAAGGTGAACCGGAAGTGGAGGATATTATCGACGTGCAACGGAAGCTAGGCGGCCGGAGAAGAAAAAGACAGACAAATAGACGGGGATGGAAAGCCTGGTGATCGCTCGAGCTGGGCCCCGGGGGGGGGGGGGAATCTATTTTCCGAAGCATGAGACCGCGTTGAAGGCGCACTGTTTCCAGTAGCTACGTTTACGCTGAAGATCCCCGATGTCCAGTTGGTTTCGGAGCCGTTTCACGATTTGCTTCGTGAATAAGTAATTGATCAGCGCTGTCTCGATGCTACCGTCGTCGTCCACCAGCTGAAACACAGTGTCCATTTCCGTTTCTAGCGCGGCCGAGAATCGAGGCTTTTTAATTTTAAATATTTTGTATGTTCTTTGTTATTTTTTATATTCTAAACTCGAAGAGAAGGTATCGGAAATGAAGCTGCATTAACTATAAAGGGTACAAGAGCACAAATTTGAATGCAATATAAAAAATAATAAAGAACATAGAAAACTTAATAAAAGATATATAAAATAAAAATAACAATGGTAAATAATTAAAAATATAAAAAATAAAATGGCACGAATTTATTCCTGAACCGAATACTTGTGCATGCAATTGTGTGAAGCGTGCAGACACGGTAGCAGATAGAGGAAAATTTGTAAGAATGGGTGGAGATTGCGTTTTCGGTTTTGGAAGAATCGATCCGATGAGCAGGAAAGGCGAGGACTTGAAACGGTTCCGAACATAACTGTTATAAAGAACCTAAAATTCAGACTACAGGCTCATCTCGATTATTGTCCCGAACTCGGGTCCAGGACAATAATCTTATAGGGAGAAATGCTTCAGACCCTCGTAAATTCGTTGTTTGCTCGAAGCCCGAACCTCGACCAAGGTTCCACGCCCCCCAGTGGTCGGGATAACGCTTGGACAATAATCGTGTAGGACAAGTCAGACAATAATCAAAGAGCAGTCTGTATGTATATAATATTTAGCTGAAAGTGATATATGTTGTCATTAAGTTTAATTCCACGAAGTTTCATGTTTGCCAGGATGAAAAGGCAGTTGGAAAATCGGAATTGTAATGAAAATGTACGTGTACCAGAACAAGTCGTAAATAAAAACATATAGTCAACAACATTTCCAGCTTCCTAATCGTGATTCAAGATGGCGTCCAATATGGCGTCCGCACACCAGCCAGTTCGAGGTGATTTTACGCAATCAATTTTTTTTCTTCGCTGCACTGTTAATGGACACCGTACGGAAGCGTAACAACGCATGGAACGGCGCGATAACAATTAGTCTCGCGGGCAATTCGTATAATGAAAACGAATCGCGTAAAGAAACAAGCGAACACGGACCGGCCGGATTTCATTTACCTAGCCCGTTTTCCAATTTCACGTCTTTTTGCAGCGTGGACGTTAACGACAGGAGAACGGGCGTTAATGGGCGATAATACGCGGCAAGAGAAGTTTATTCGCGAAAAAGCGTCGTTGGAAGCCGAGCGGAATTCGATTTCTTCCTCGAATTTTGCCGTCGTGTTACTGCCGCGATGCAGCATTAAATTCGTTACGCCTGTTGTTCCCCTTTAGAAATTACAATATTCGTTTATGGGTCGACTCCACTGCAACTATGTTTTATTGGTTCACAACCGTCAGGGGACCATTCTCCCGTATTCATTCTGCCTTGGATAAACCGAGAATTTTTCGCCTATCATCCGCAACCCAGATAGCACAACCAGGGCTGGATGAAGGGGTTTTTTTTAACCCCGGGCCCCGCGTTCCAGATGAGCTTGTTCTGTAGCTTCCACTTTCTTATGATTAAATGTTATTTAATTTAATTTAAAATAAATTTCAATTTTTTAAGATTTATTTTGTGCTGTGTTACAACCCCCCTCCCCCGCGCATTTTAACCAAGGGGGACCCCGAAAATCTGATGGCCGTTTTACGGCTGTTTTAGGCTTCAAGGCGTCATATGCTATCCGAGAACCAAGTTGCCCGTTTCGTTAGATCACGCGGGTTTTTTTTAAATGAAAACTGTCATTTCGGTCGTTCGTATTCGCAGAATTCTACAATGACGAATTTTCAAACATTGGGGATGAATTCTAATCAGGTTCAATGAGGATGATTCTTCGAGAAAAAAATAGCAACCCGCGGAACGAGAGACCCTGGACGTGCACACAGTGGATTCGTTAATATTCACAACGCGGCGGTGCCTTTCATTTCGTTTCTCTTGAATAAATACGAAACACATCGGGTAAAAGGCTGGCGCGGAATACCGAGTCCCGCAACACCGTCGGAACGTTTAAATATGCAGGTGAATAAAAAATCGTCAGCAACAAATACCAGGCGTGGGAAAAATAAAATCGTAGAGATTGGACGAAACGAATCCGATCAACCTCGAATTCAAGGTATCTCGATCGTTAAACCGCGCCAGGAAGTCGCCCGTCTCTCATCGAGTTAAACTTCTACGATTGGACGAAGATGTGACAGAAAAGAGTCGGAAAAATAGCGGGAAAAGTTTGATCGAAATAGACCGAGAAACAGGGGACGTTGACTGAAATCGAATTGACGTCGTCGCAGTTATCGATTATCTGATCAGCCACGAATTTATCGAATTCTGCTCGAATCAACCCACCCCTCCTCACTGAAGAAAATTGGCGACGATATCCGGTTTTCCCCGAATCAGCGACACCCTTATCAACCACCTCGAGAGACCCCTTCACCCCCTGTTTCGTCTAGACTTCTCGAATGGAATATGTTGGAAGTACCTGGAAACGACGAATATTGGGTTATGTTCGATCCTCCAGAATAGGAGAGTTGTGAATTTTGTATAGGCCCGTTGGACACCTCGAGAAATAGACCGATTGCTAGACAATGCACAGAGTGAAGGTTAAAGTTCTTTGCATTATTCAGAGCAGAAATGAGGGGGTTTATTTGGGGCTGTTGTTTGACACAGGAGCAGGATTTCTGTGTGCAACGACACGCAGCGAGGAGATGATTTTCTCTGTTCATCTCAGAATTCACCCACTGGTGTACACAGAGTTCCAAGTATATTCAGATTTGTCGTTTTATATGCATTTCTGCTGTTTATGTTGCGAACACAAAATTACTCGATACACTTAGAACGGTTTTTGAGACCTTTGACTTGATGCTATATAGGGAACCCTCGTTCAATTAATTTTATTAATAGATTTACTAGAGTTTTCGTAGTTTTTTTAATTCCTAGTTTCGTATGACACGATAATTTTTAGGACACCTACGCCACCGTTTCTATATGGGAGTCAGTTGTTGAAAATTTCATACAAACGATTAAAAATGTTGAAAATCGCAGTTTTCAATTAAAGTTTCAGTATGTATATAACTAACATAAATCTTCGATATGTATTTATTAAAATTTTCATTATAACCTCAGATAAAAAAGTTTTAAAAAACGACTTCTACTATTTTCTTCGCAATTCCAATCAATTGCAACTTTTTCAATTTTTTTTTACACATCATTTAATAAACTAATGTCCTTCATAAAAGAACTTAAGTTATTTGGACCAATTTGAAAAAAAGTTTTTGCGTTTTAAAAGGTGTACGAATACTTTTGTCCGGTACTGTACGTATGTATGCTAATGTCTCACAGGCCACAGCGAAATTCCACGGCCCGTTTAAACGGTTCCGACGAAACCAACCCGCGATATACAGGCTGATTTGCAATTCAAACGCGGCGTTACGCAACGAAACGCGTGTTCGTCTAAGGGATGCGTCCGGGAACGTTTTCCTTCGACGCCCCGGAAACAACGGGACCCTGCTTCCTTCCGAGACATCGTGGAAACATCGTCGAGGAATATTTAAGGTAGCTCACGAGTTTAGTGTCGTATATAACTAGGGCTCCATATAGCGTTTTTATACTTTTTATCAATTTTACCGGTTTAATTTGACTTGTTTAATTGACATTATAACATGTGAAAATTGTCGTTCTTTACTTTGAATCTTATTTGTTAACGATTAAATATAATTAACAAATTTTGTTTATGTTTATTTACACATGTATTTTCTTTTTAATGGTGATATTAATACAGAAGATCCGTAATTGGAACAAGATCCGTAATTGGGACACATACCCTAGGGTGACATCGAGATATTTAAGGCGTTGAGAGGTTGGACATGATCCGAAAAAACTTTGGAAATACTAATCCAATGGAAGCCAAGAGGTAAACAGAGCTAGATGTCCGTGTTTAAGAAGAATATCGCGTCCTGCAACAGCGATTCTCTCCAGATAAAAAAAGTCGACAACCTGTAAACTCTGGGCGTCGAGAATAAAAAGCGAACGACGATATCGCGATTCGACGAGGAGCGCAATCTTGTTTTTCCCGACGATTCGCTTTGTAATCCGGGCGTTCCAACACTCTTTTAACGTCGCCGTGCAGGCGATTCCAAGGAAAGAAATTTCATTTGTTCCTTTGTCGACTGTGTATTAGATTCTTAAACGTTTCGATTCGTAGGGTCGCCTCTGTTTGATAATTGCCCTGAAACGATCTTATCTACCGATGTTTCCCGTCTCCTCCTTGAGCAAATCCAATTCCCTCGTTCGTTTTCGACGACGAAGACCAGAAACGTTTCTAGACAATTTCTCCACGGTTCGAGTTTCACGAAATTTAATCTCGAAACGTCGACGGTGGCTAATCGATCGATCGCGGGTGTCTATAAAACTTCTATCCTCCCCTTATCTCTCGACCAAAGATAAGATAATATTCAAAGAATAATTCTCTCATTTTTTCCCTCTTTCGTGTTTCTTCCGTTATACAGGATGTAACAAAAATATTGGAGGACCTGGAAATGAGAGACGTGATTTGAAACAAGTTTTTCCTTAGCAAAAATGTTCTCCGAGGCTTCGTTAACGAGATATTAACGAAAAACCCCGACCAATCAGAGCGTCAGTCTGTCGGCCGAGTTCCCGCCCCCCTACCAATCGCAGCGGTACCCGACGCTACCGCGGGAACTCGGCCATCAGACTGGCGCTCTCATTGGTCGGGGTTTTTCGTTAATATCTCGTTAACGAAGCTTCGGATAACATTTTTGCCAAGGAAAAACTTGTTTCAAATCGCCTCACGACTCTCCTATTTCCAGGTCCTCCAACATTTTTCTTATACCCTGGTATTCACTCGCGTGTTCGTCTTATTTAATATTCTTCTCGCGTGCACCCGTTAAACGATTCGAATGAAACCGAATGAAATGAATTTCCCAAGTCGAACAATCTATCTTCCTTTGGCAGCTGACGCAATTTATCGACGGGAAACCGATACCGTCGACTAACGTGTGCTTTATCTTCCATATAACTAGAGGAATTTCCAGATGAAATAGGCGAAGAGGAATTGAACCAGTGTCTCGTTGGTTTAACGCTTTACATTTACCGACGATATTACCGTTGTCCAAGGAGTCCAAGCGACGAGTGAAGAGGAGAGGTTGGTATGCAAATTGTATCGGGATCCTTTGTCTTTGACCAGTGTCGAGGATCCACGCGATTAAACCCGTGTCTATGGATTATTAGAGGCAGCGTTAATTGCACGGTTAACGTCACGCGCGTGCTCGATACCTGTGCGGCGATATTAACGGCAGGAATTCGTAATGGTACTCGAGATAAAGCCCCTGGGACGCGTGGAAACGGCCAATGGGCCACCTGAACCAAACTTAACTCTCCAACAGCCATGTTGTAGGAAACAATGAAATTAAACGAAGATTGTGTTCGATTTGTAACCAATGAAAACAGAGGGACATTGATTTTTAAAGTTTGTCAGAGCCAATTTGTAGTTAAAGAAACACGTGATTAAATGGTGGAGAAACGATTGGAGGAATTCCAAAGTTCAACGGGATCAAGAGAAACGGGGAAAGAGATTTTCGGTTCTCACGGTGTTTGCAGGGCATACACACGATCGATGATAGTTAATCCACGTATTTGTTCGCAGGGGAAATTGAAAGCAGACACGGCGGAACAAAGAAGCCGTCGGAGGAATTTACATACGCGAGGGAGGCCGAGTTTGCTCGTTAGTTCCGGAACAGGGGACGCGCGAGCAACAGGTTTCCTGGGCTCCTTTTCGAACCGTTTTCATCGGCCGTGTTTAGGGTAGCTTCTGCGTTTGGTGTCGTATCTAGCTGGGTAATCATACGATGCTTTATACTTTTCCATCAATTTTACGAATTTAATTTGAATGATTAATATTTTAAACTACTTCAGAATACTGAAATCGAAATAATAATTTTACAAATAAGTGAAGAAAACAAGAATTTTTTCCTTATTGTAAGAAAAATTTAATTTATTTGAAGAAAAAACCAAAATAATTATTCCTAATCTTTACCGACTGAAGGATAATCCATATTTCGAACAAAGTCTCCCGCACAAAGCTGTTCGAACCCCGACTTCTTGATATTCCTATTCCAAGCCCCCAAATAGCACACTAAATTCTATTCGAACGACTCGTACCGCCACTCCGTGTGTCCATAAATTTGAGAAAGGAAGGATCGAAGGAATGATAGGTGGAAGTTTCGGAGAATGTTTGGTGGACGTGAATCGATCGTTGGAAGTTCGATGGAACTGGCGTCGTTGAAATTCCATTCGTCGCCAGGACAAGGTGAGAACGGTACATCCATTTTCTTAGCGCAGGGTCCCGTGGAGGATCGGCTCGAGGGCTGTCGCCTGAATCCTCCATATCATAGGGAAAGGGAGAGTCGACGTGACCCCCAACGTTGGTAAAGAGGGAGGCCTGGAGAGTCAACGAAACTGTTTTCCATTTGTCCCCGGTGGAGCGCGTGGCCGCAATACCAATCGCTGCGGCGTCATTCTTTCTCGGACGTCGGGGGTTTCCCGTCGTCCAGGGAAATTGTTCCGGGAGAAAAGTCTCCCCCTTTCGATGGAACGGGGACAGAGTCACCAACTGGCGGTTTCCGTGACGCAGATCGGCGTTTCAGGACGAACTAGTCCACCATCCACGTTGAATCCTTTGACTACGAAAGGCATATACGTCCTCGGAAAGGCGTTTCAGCTAACTTGCGACTTAACGACGTACATTTTATGCAAATTTTGACGGGTGGAACTTAAATGGCATCAAGGGGCACATCTTATAAGGTAGGTGCTATTTTTGTGGGAGGAAGCATTTGAGAAATTTCAAGGTCGCCATGATTTTTTTTTTAACATAACGATGTATCAAATTCTGTGTAAAAATGTGTTGACTTTCGTACGTTCTAAACCTAATAGTTAACGAGATGTTTATAAAATAATCGCTGTATTGGACTTGTACACATTTTTATTCAGATACCGTTCCGTTAGAAAAAATCAAGGTGACCTCGAGATCTCTCAAATGCCTCCACCCACAAAAAAAGCACGTATCTTATAAGATGTCATTTAAGTTCCATGCCTCAAAATTTTCAAGGAAGTGTACCGTTAAGTCATTATTAGAGGTAATCAAGTTAACTGAAACACCCTGTATACGAAAGACGTATACATGCGCCCTCTAAATATTTCGTATTATAACACATTTACTGTTTCGCTAAACTGATATAATTTAGAAACTTTTTTATTTGTATACTTTTTGTTAGCGACTGACATTCGCATATCGGGCCGCAATCAAAGGGTTAAAAGTGGTGCGGTCCGTGGACCACGGGGCAGGTAATCGATTAATTAATTGTCGGCCAAATTAATTTCGGGTCGGGTGATGGTTGCGGTGGCTCGTCTCGATAATCTAGGGGGTTGTTTCTGAACCGCGATGTAACGTCGACGTGGCCGACATCGGTCATGAAATTCTGTTTCGCTGATGTACGAACATCAATGACAATGAAAATACCAGGTCGTAAATCGTCGAAAATACATCCGATTGGTCGAGGTTTTCCGTTAATATCTCGTTAACAAAGCCTCGGATACCATTTTTGTTAGGTAAAAACTTGTCTTAAATCACCTCACGAGAACCGATTTCAGGGACCTACAACTGTTTCGTTACACCCTGTATACACATTTACGTAATAGCTGTTGATATTGTTTTAAATTACACCGCGACATCAACAAGTTGGTGTGTTAAAAAGAATTCATCAGAAAAGCATGTTAAATATAAATAATCATGAGTGTACATAAATCGAAATTGCATAAAAATTTGTACACTTAACGGTAATTTGGAAAGTGTATGAACGAATACGTGAGTCACTGTAAAAAAAAGAAAACCAGGAAAATACAGTTTTAGGGAGAAAGGTAAGTGGTATCCAGCTGCGTGAAATTGGGACGAGGGAAGCGTGAAGTTTTCAGTAATCACTGTTCAAAAGCAGTCAAAAAGTCATCGTTTTCGTGCATTCTACGTGTGCTCGGCTGACTCTACTCGTGCAATCAGCAAGTGGAACGACTCCGCGATGGGGTCGCCAGCGAGTAGAATGGGAACGTATCTGGTCGGACCGCGAGGGAAGCTGCGAGAGCTTTTTCGCGGCGGTGCTCTCTTCCTGTCCGCGATCGAAACGAGTTCAAGACGGGAGTGACCATCTTTTTGGGCGAAAAAAAAATCGGGGCCAACGGGGCAATTTGACTGATAACGAGGCCCGTTTGTCGACTGGTCGAATTGTCGCGGGATTCTTCTAAAAAGGCGGGAACTTTTTATGCGCCCGTTATTAATTTTCTCGCGGTATTCTGGCTGTTATTAGAATGTAATATATTGTGATCTACAATTTTCTAAACGGACTGGGTATTAATTTCTTAGGATTACTGCGATTTCGAAAGATTAAGTAAAGGAATTGCTAAACAAAATTGGGAATCGCCAGGGAAATCAAGAATTCCTGTTATTTTAATAATGTTTAATACAATTTCTGGAAACAGAGAGATCAACTGACCGAAGCCTGGAAGACCCCAGGGCCAGAGTGTATTAAGTCACAATTTTCAAAATTAAGGGATTAAATTTATCCTCCATCCGTTTCAAGCGATAAATTTCGCCACACGAAACTGTAATCCGTGTACAGAGGGGGATATTTCCGGTACACAAACGAGTAAGTACGTTCCCATTCCGCTCGCAGGTAACTACCCTAAGGGTGTTTAGTTACTTACGTCTACCTCGTTCAAGAGTCTCTCCTTATCGACGGCCGGGAGAGCAGCGGACCAATCGAACAGGATCATCAGGACCATGGCCAGGAACACGGCGATTCGTAGCGACGACATCACGTTGCCCACCTGAAAAAAAAAAGTCCAGTTTGTCGTCAATTATTGCAATTAGACCTCGAAGATGCGGTGCAGGATTTATTATTTATATATTATTTATTTATCATTTATTTATTATTTATTTATTATTTATTTATTATTTATTTATTATTTATTTATTATTTATTTATTATTTATTTATTATTTATTTATTATTTATTTATTATTTATTTATTATTTATTTATTATTTATTTATTATAACGAAGGTATCGAATAACGAACAGGGTTGTTCGTATATCGGTATTTTCGTATTTCGGTTTCTATAAGGGTTACGAAGGTACAACCGAGAAATACCGGTATAAATATTCTTTCTATTTCGAGACTCGTTTCACGATCGAGAAACACTCCCTGTCGGTTTGGTAAAATTGCACTCTAATAATATGTGTTCTTCTTTTAACGATCGACGAGGAACAAATCGTCGAGTGAAACCAGAGCGCAGTTTTTCTTAATCACGATCCCCGAGACGGGACAAACAGCCAGCCCCTCTGGTGGCCGGTATTTTACGATCCCTTAACGAGAACGAATGAAGTCCTGAAGCCGCTAGTTATCCCCGTAATCCTTTCTGGCCAGGATGCACGGGAAAAACGGGGTACTCGAGGATTGTTTCTATCGGAACTGCTATACCTACGTGTTTACGGAGCCGGAAGTTCCGCAAGGTAATAACACGAGCTTATCGACGTGCACACAAACCATCGTTTATTCCAAAGGATGTTGTCTGGAAAAAGGATATCTCGCGGCCTAATGATCTAACGCATCGGAACACGGAAATAAAAAGAGAGGGAAAAATGCTAAAGGAGTTACTGTGACCCTTCGTTGGACTATCTCCCAAACTAATAATTAGACTGCGGATTTTATGCATTTATAACGTGCACGATTATTTGAAACTCGGTACTGTAAGATGTAAAAATTGATGAGGTTTTTACATTACTTAGAACCTCACAGAATCTACAATAATGGGAAGAAATTCTGCTTAGATTCCGATTCCTGTAAACCAGTCCATAAAAATTTATATTTGCATAAGACCCACAGTCTACTAATAATTTTTTCGACGTACATAAGCTAATACTTTTTTTTATAGAAAATATCGAGTTGCATCAACTGTTGTATGAAAAAGCATATGATTTGCTTCAAAAACGTGAAGGTGACCTAGAAATCTCCGAAACCCCAACAGATGAAAAAATATTATTACTGCCATAACTTTTGCTAATAAACTTTTTCTGTATCTCTGAAAACAACGGAGATATTCGAATGCTAATTCTTATCGAACCACCCTGTATACTCTTTACAAGTGTATCTTTGTAGACTTGTCACTTCTGTAACGTAATATTTTTGCAATTCAATAAGTTTTCGTCCTGTAGAAATAAATTACTATTATTATTATAACGATCGACGATCGTTGAAAATGTTGGAACGATAGACAATAACGATCGAGGATCGTTGGACTGGTTAGAATGAGATTTTATTTGGTTCCTGGTGACAGAGAATTTCGTCGATCGGATCGACAGGTCCAACTCTGGTAGATGAAACGCTGCCTCATCGATGCCTGGCTGTCGTCGACAGAACGATAACTCGTCCGACGAAAATTTCATTCGTCGGGTGAAAATAAACACCCGGGGCCGTTCGTTCGAGCGTCGTTCTGATTAATTAACCCTGCCCCGTCCCCGTCAGGTCGAATGCAGGATCGTTTCGAGGATTCTAATTGGTGCGGATAAAGAATAACCGTGGAAATGGCGGAACATTTGTTTCTGGCGTTTGCATTGTTTTTGAATTGTCGGTGATAGCGAGAATAGGATTGCAAATTTTATGAATTTATTATGTGTACGGGGGACCAGTGAGGCTAATAACAACGTCGTTGGTTCAGGGACTTTCATCGAAACGTGAAATACCGATATTATAACGAATTATGAATGATCTTACTTTTTGTATTAAATTGTAAATAGTAAAGTGAACAGCTCCTACCTACTTGAATTGTTAAATTTGAACGTACCTAAATATTGAATGAGACAGGTACCATTGTTTTACACCACGTCTTACACTTCAAAGTTTCATTCGACTGACCCCATTACCAGAATTTGTAACACTGCCAACTTCTACTCTGTAATCGAATAGACTTTATTTTATATTTTGTATTGTTCGGTACAGAATGGAAAATACTAACGTATTCGGTACCTATTGATGAAACGATTACGAAATACAAGTGTGTTCGAGTATTTACTTATTATAAAATACAAAATACCAGAGTATTCGTTAATTGATCTACATATTCAATACAAGTATTCAGTTCTATACATGTATTTCAATCACAAAATCATTCGATTGCGCTCAACTCTGGTCGGGAGCTGCATCGAAGAAAATTACTTGAAATGCAACTCCCTCGCGTGGTTCGGCTAACCAATTTGTGACTGTGGTCGCCGGCTAATTGCCTGGAACGCGAGCGTGCTCGATTTAAATAGCGGACAGCCGCAACGATATATTATAACAAAGTTGCCGTGTTATTTCATTTCCGATAACGAAAATCGTAAATCGCATTGGGATGCTAACAAATTCCGATTCAAACGACAGAAAGATGTGTAAGAATAGAAGAAAAAATCGACGGAATCGAAGAAGGAAATCGAAGCGTTACTGTAATACACAAAGGAAATCGGAAACGTTAAACGACACTCTATTCCGAACATTTCTTCCTTCGAGCATTCACGACCTTTTTTTTTTTTCATTCAACAAGAACGTTTCTTTGCAAGAAAAGAATCGCGAGACCCTTGAGTGCTCGGCCTTTCGAAGTTCCGCTCAAAGACGAGGCGATCGCGCAAACTGTGCAAGCGGAAAAGCACAAGTCGTTCAAGAAAAAAAAAAAAAAAATAAAGAAAGGTCCCACGTGTCAATACAGGACCCTCGGGGGACAAGCGTACCGTCGCGAACCAGTTACGTGAAACGCGCTCGGAAGTCGATCTCCTTCGCGTTCATAGAACGAAACGAACCTTTTCCGATACGGGAAACTTTCTATGAAGGCTACCTGTGGCACGTACCCGGCTAACTATTCACTTCTTCGCGTAACGAAACGTTAAATATTTATATTAAAATTCCTTTCAATAGGAATCACACTCAAAAATACTGCTAGCAAAATTCATATTAATATTAAAATTACCGACGGTAAACGCATATCTATTTCAATCGATTGACAAACATAACAGACTTTTCAAATTTTACTAATTTATAAAGCAACTAATTTCTTCACTTTCGTATCGTAGTAAAAGTTACAGAAGATCGGAGAAAATTTATTGTTGTAACATTTTAATCATTGTTATAAAAGTGTACTGATAAATCATTTCGACTTGTTTGGTAGTTCTAGTGTTAAGACATCTAAAAGGTCATCTAGAAACCAACTTCTTTAGGCATAAAGAATAATAGAAAACGGACGGTTCGATTGAAACTTCACTGAATCCAAAACGATCTATGCACAAAGTAAAGCGATCACTAGACTGCCGATTTTACGAATTTATAACCTCCAGGACTCCGCAAAATTCAATAAAAGGCAAAACTTATCAAATCTAACGAGTTTTCTATTTTATTCTGACCCCAATATAAAATATTTAATAGGAAAATTAAATTTCTACATTTTCTCCTGTCAGTATCCATCACTTTAGATAATACTATTTTGCATAAAAATCCGCAAAAAGTGATTACTAAATTAATTTCTACGATCTAGTCCGCGGGGGATCGAGAGATAGAAATACAAAGGCAAATACCTCGTGTGTCAGGCAATCAAGGAACGACAGGCGTGTGATCCACAGGAGTCGAACGGTCGTTGGTGGTGGTTGTTGGTCTGTTTTTTTTTCCGAGCTGCTGCAAGGATCGACGCCTCAACGGGACAGAGTGACTGAGCTTGCAAGCACGCGACCACTTTATATCAGAGACACGGACTGGGTCGGAGCGGCGTTGGTGGTGGTAAACGCGGGGCTGTTACCGGTCGCACGGTGGTGGAAAACCAACCCTCTCCACCCCGCCCTTTTCTCGAACCGAAGCCACTCTTTCGACGTGCACACGTGTTGCCCCGATGGGGATAGACTCGCGAGACCACCGCCTCCTGATGACCGCGACATCGAACGAATTAATTCGACATTAGACTAGGGACTTCTACCGGAACGTAAAATACCGGTATTATACGTTTTGGTAGAAGTCCCTGGTTCTAGTGTTATTTCTTACTGGTATGAATATTTTTTACAATTTATTAAAGTAAGCAATGGAAGTGTTCTTATCTATCTAATATAATTTAGTACGTGGCAATCACACTAGAAATGTAGGCAGCATATTATTCTGTTTCAAAATATCTATGAAAACGAAGACGACTTTGTAGAAATTTCGGCTACTGTATTTTCAAATACCACCAATTTGATTCCTCCGTCCTATCTGTTTTTGTATTTTCATTTACAAAAATGGAGGTTACACTGAGTATTAATATAGAAACAGTGAAAAATAATTGTTAATTTGAAGTTTACTTATGTAAAAAACGAATGACTTTACAGAAATTTCAGTTTCTTTTCTATAGAAATACATATTTTCTTTTCAAATAAATGGTATTATTATGGAATGGAATAATTATAAGAATTCATCAAAAAACATGGCGAATTTATACAAATTTCAGCCAGTGTAGTTGAAACGACGATGAATACAATGTTTTTCGATGAATCATCCGCGATGTACATTCGAAGTTTAAAATCTACGTTCGCCTTGACGAACCGAGTGGATCTGCAAGTTATTCATCAATTCCGTCGATTCTCGATCTATCCTCGGACCCGATATTCACGAATCAAAACACCGATATGTATGCGAAGTAATTTTTTATCGTGTTCCCTATCAATCTTCCCATGCTTCTATTTACCCTGGATCGCAGTGGCCCGCGTACGCAATGTTATCGTTACCGGGGAGATTTATTGTTGTTATTGCTCCGTTTCGGTATTTCATCGGGTGAAAACAGAATAATATAGAAGTCTAGTAGCTGAACTCGACTCTCTCGAGTCTTGTCATTTGATTTTTGTGCCTTCCTTCGAGCACAATTTCAAACTTTGGTACCGGACAAAAGTATTCATACAACCTTTAAAACGGAACAACTTTTTTAAAATTGGTGCAAATAACTTGAGTTCTTTTGTGAAATTAGGGACATTAGTTTACTAAATGATGTTTAAAACAAAATTGAAAAAGTTCGTGCACCAAGTCACAGACAGCAAAAATTATTTAAATTTATATACTATTCGAAATCGACCAATTTGTGACTTGAGATTCCTTTCAAAAATTGAGGGATCATCCGTGGAACTAGTTGAACGTTTAGTATTCTGGGGATGACTTCTGAACACAGTGCTGAGGAGCCTTCGAACGCTCATCGATGATTTACAGTATAATCGACACATTTGCGCGCTGAGCCTACCTAAATGGTCATCACTTTCCTTTATTTATAATCATTGATTCGACTAGGTGAACGAAATATAGAGATTTTCTAGGGGGGATAAGATTGCAAAACGTAACGTGACACTCTCGACCACTCCACAGTTTCACTTCCTTCTTTCCTATTTGTAGAAATAAACACGACGCAGTTTCCGTTTTTCTTGGAGTCCAGGTGGCTTGGAATAATCTACGCGAACGTGGATTGGAAAGCTATCTATAGATACTGCGAGGCTGCCTCGCTTCGTTTCGACGCATATTGTTAAAATCTTAATTCAAATTATACAGGTTGTCTCAGCTAACTTGATCACCTCGAATAATGACTTAACAGTACACTTTATGAAAATTTTGAGGCGTGGAACTTAAATGGCATCTTACAAGGTACGTGCTTTTTTTTATGGGTGCAGGTATTTCAGAGATTTCAAGGTGACCTTCACTTTTTTTTTAACGAAATGACGTATTTTTTGTACCACCTTAAAGAGTTAAGTTCCATGCCTGAAAATTTTCATAAAGTATACCACTAAGTCATCGTTCAAGGTGATCAAGCTAACTCAAAACACCCTGTAGAATTCCCTGGTATACCATCGTCGTCTTCGTCTCTTTTATTTTTCAAACTTCTGTAAAATCACCATTAAGACGAGTGCCATGCTTGCCTTACATATTCTATTTAACCCTCATCCGTCCCTTGTGTCAATTTAACACAGATTTCTTCTAAGAAATTACGTTATTTTGTCATGTGTAATTAAATTTTATCTGAGGCTTTGTGATTTTTGCCTTAAAGAATTTGCAAATTTAACTATTTATCACTTCATTGTATTTAATTTTTACCACTGGGTATATTTGACACCGAGGAACAAATTAAGCTGGGAAAAATGAGGGACTGATGGGGGTTAAGATTCGAGGCAGCCTCGCGAGGAAGCCTCGCAGTGTCTATACGTAAGATTCGATCAGCGTAGATGCAAGGAAATGTTGAACGTTGACAGCCCGTTGGCCTGGCTGCTTCGAACGCAATTTATCGCCGTCTTTAGCAGCCCGTGACGCGGTTTAATATCGAGTTATCGGCGAACCGTGTCGACTATCAGCCGTCATGTCTTATATCCCCTCTTTTCTTTTCGTTTGTTCAGAAACTTTAGACAAAATACACGGACCAACGAGCCACTTTTTGAAAGATCGTGGGAAGACGATTCTATCTGTAGGACGCGAATATTAAATTCCATGGACTTGGACAACTGACGAGAACACTACGGAACAGCTTTCGCAAACGATGTAAACCGTAGTCGAACTTTCAACTCGATTACCGCAGCCTCTTAGTTTCCACCAGGTCGCGTAAATCTTTCCAAGAAAGCGAAATTCTCACGGAAAAATCTCCCCCGGTGGGTGGAGGAAAAAATATTCGTGGTAACTCGACGAACCTCGTTTCCTTCCAATTAGTATTATCATACGTCAACAAGTTAGATAACTCTTTGGTACATAAGATAAGAAATACAAATAGACAACCCTACATGGGGCGATTCCCCATGGAAAAATAACTGAAAAGTATGAATAACCATTTTTTGATCATCTACAATACTCGAGCGAATGGTTTTTCGTCGATCATTTCCATTTCCGAACAAACATTCCGATAATTACTCTTGTGAAATCTACTTTTTTCTACAATAATCATTCAGTGTAAGTTCAGTGAGTTTAATCTTAGTTAATATTTTATTAAAGATTTCCTATCGCGACTAATTCCATACTGTATAATATATTGTTGTAACTGTTTCTAATCTTATTTTCATCAAACGTTATGTATGTATACTGGATTTATACCCGTTAAATAACTAAAAAAATGAAAAAAATAAAAACTATCCACCGGGTTGGATAGAATAGTGGTGGAATGTGGCTGGAGTGGGGAGAGATTCAGCGGCGGTACCGCGAGCCAGGAATGTCTCATCCCCTAAAATATGCGAAACAGGCACGGTCGACGTACCAGGGACATTTATCGCCCCGCCAACCCCCCTCCCTTTCCGTTACCAAGTTTCACCGACTCACCTTCCATCGTACCACCGCCCTTTGGAGCGGACCCATGTCAACCGTCCATTAACGGGAAATAAACCCCCTGGACGGCCGCGATTTCGCGCGAACAACTGCCAGAACTTCGTCACGTACGCGTGCATAAACTTTCTGTCGGTGTCTGAAACGCGTACAGATTAACGGTTAAGTAAATGGGGGACCCCAGTACGAAAAGGACCACCTAGAACAATGGGATTTCCGCTTTCCAAAAGCGTTCGAAGATATCGCAAAGTACGAAATAAGATTTCAGTCCATATTTTTTATATTGACCCTATTATCATTAAATTATATTTTTTTTAATTAATTGGAAGACATGTTTTATGAACATTTGTGGGTTTTGACAGATTTCTGATAATCGAATATTTCTCACTTTCTCGTTTTTCGTTTGCAAAAGAAGGATTTTTAGGCTTTTTTTATTTTTTTATTAGTAATGTTCAAGTTAAATGTGTACTAATTACTAAGTTGTAATACATAATTAGCTTCCTAAACTTTAACTATTATTTTTTTACTGTCAAACAGAAAATGATCAATTCGATAAGATTAGGGGTTTTATAATAATAATATAAACGATTAACCCCTTGCCCTATGATTTCCTTGACGTCTGCAGTCTCCAGGATTACGTTGTTATCGATAGTTTCCCAGATCTACAAACATGAAAACCCTCTCGCCAACAAAGTATTAAGTATATTGAGCGTAACGCTATGTCCTGTAATTTTAGGAGGGTGATTTTCAAAATCTGATTATTCAATATCACTGTCCATTCGGTTAATTGCTCAGTCCATTTCTTACGAAGTAAGACTACATTTAATAATTTCATTTTTTGATGATACCACTCAAGGGTTGTTCTTCAATTAGATTTAGTAAATATCAACAATATCGATGAAGTGAAATCAAAAGGTACGTGTCCTTGAATCGCTATTAACGCCTATAAGCGTTCTTGTAATTTCGATCGTTCGGCGGACAACACAGCAACGGAATTGATTTTCCTCGATGCGGCCGTTATCGGGGCGTCGAGGAAACGGTAATCGATGGTCCGCGATAGGTAATCGGCTCGGCAGAAATGGGCCATCAACCGTTCCGGGACCGTAATCTCGACGTCGATGATCATAAAACGCGATAACAGGTGCGCGGCCGCGCGTGTCACCGATCCCTCGTCTAATCCGGCGGTTCCTCGATGGTCAACGAAGCGATTCCTTGATTTAATTTTCCATCCAAGGCTTGCTTGCTTTCTATCCTTAGACTTTTAGTATTGTTTCTACACTTGAAATAATTTACGGCAGAATTAGGCAGAATTTTATTCGAATAACACAAAGCGAAATGCAACAGTATCTGAGGATAATATATTGCATTTCACAAATCCT